GTATATGACTTCATGCCTAATGGTTCACTTGAGAGGTATCTCTCTTGTCAGCAAGGAGGAACTAATTCATTAACGTGGGAGAAAAAGCACGCGATTGCCCTTGGAGTAGCTCGAGGGATCGAGTATTTGCATCGAGGCTGTGATATGCGAATTCTGCATTTTGATATCAAGCCACACAACATACTTCTAGACCAAAACTTCCTTCCAAAAGTTTCTGATTTCGGGCTAGCCAAATCCTACCCGACCGGAAATAGTATTGTGACTATCACTGCTGCACGAGGTACAATTGGTTATGTAGCTCCTGAATTGATCAACAGAGGCATTGGGCCTGTCTCGTACAAGGCAGATGTTTATAGCTTTGGAATGTTGTTGATGGAAATGGTAGGTCTAAAGAAGAACTTGGTAGAAATTACCGAACATTCTACCCAATACTTCCCTGATTGGATATATGATCGTTTCAATAAGGGCAAAGACATTGAAATTGGAGATGCCGATGAATGTGGGAATGAAGGAAGGAAAATTACTAGGAAGATGACGATAGTGGCATTATGGTGCATACAGATGAATCCGGCGAATCGTCCTTCAATGAGCAAGGTAGTCGAGTTGCTCGAAAGTGAAGCTGAAAGTCTACAAATTCCTCCTCAGCCGTTCCAGCCACCTCTTCAGATTGCATCAAATGAGGACCAAACATTTGGAACAGATTCGACCGACTCCGTAGCCTTGCTATGCAATGCTTCCAGTTCAGTAAGCATAACAGTTGAGTAATAAATCATTACCAATCTTATCAGTTAACTTTGTTCCAGAGAATTTTGTCTCTGTTCAGTACGTCTTGCAATTCACTGCTCGTTAGATGGAAGCGTCGAGTTTAATACGTTTACTTATAGAAGAATAATTGTCAATATGTTATATTTAAATTTTCTGCAGGTATTAACATGTATAATAATGCATTGTCAAGATGTTAAAATTAATTATCTTTTAATTTAATAATGCATTATATTGTTATATTACATTTGGTGATCTAAGAACAAACCTCATATGGAATGGGAAACGTCATCCATGCAACTAAAGCAAGTACAAGTGCGAAAATAATATGCTTCCAACAATTTATCTCCTCACAAATATCTCCTTTTACTAAAGTAATTTGGCCATCTTACTAATCACTATATTTTTGTTATAAATTTTGAGAGAATCATACCTCTAAAATTAGTTGTTGAAGTTGAAGAGTTCAAATTTATATAAACAACACAACGAAAGTTCATACTTTTGATATGGAATCCAAGTCTCATGACTTTATCAATGAGAATCATGACAAATCACCACGCTTCACGATCTCTTGCTCACATCGGATGGCTTTGCACTAGCTCATGACTAATTGAACGAATACTGTTATATCGACATTACCAGTTGCGTTGTTCGATTGCAATCGAAAGATATAGTGTCTGCTTTGATACTATTGCAATAGATTTTGGGACTACTATATCTCAAAAGTTAGTTGTTGAAATTGAAGTGTGCAAGCCTATATAAATCATATATCGAAAGTCCATACTTTCATTGTAAGATTCAAACAACGGAAATCATGACAACTTCTCACAATAACTAGTCATTGAACTTTTGTAACGTGACCATTGATTATTGATACATTTAATCCGTGTTTTTCGTCATAATGAACCAAACAAATTAGTACACTTATCATCAAAATTCATTGTTATGTCAACCAATAAAGCTAAAAAATAGGGCCCAATGAATAATTTTGATTTTTTCGCCACTACGGTACAGGCCCATATCTGTCATTTCCACTATGAAAGATTCATAATTACTCATATAATTTAAGCGTTTTTGTTTGGTAAAATAAAAATAATTAATTATATGTATAATCTTCTCCTCTGACGCCATTACATCTTCCCATAGATACACTCGGACAGTGAATCCAGGGACGAGACGAAATTAGACTGATAAATCGCAGCTACTTTTCTCTCTCTGCAATTTCGTGCGACAAAAGTACTCTATTTTACAGTGCGGTGATTTACATACAATTTTTTAAACAGTTTTCCAGGTACGATTATAATTTCTTCATCTTTTTGGTTCTTTTCCCCGTATCTGCATGCAATTATATGGAATCTGTGTGTATTTTACTGTTTTTAATTTGTCATTTTTATTTCTATGTTTTCTTTTGTGGCGAAGAGAAGAAAATAGTTAAAGGACTTGGAATATTTGTATTTGGAAATCGAAATATACCCCCTTTTTACTTAAACCCTAGTATTGTTTGGCTGGGAGGATCAATGCTAAAGATAGGAGTTATTTATTGTGGGAATTATGAATTTGTTATTTATAACATTATATTTGTAGTATCATCCCCCAGGAATCATGGAAATGTTCATATTTGATTTTATTTTTCTTGGAGTTAATCAAATTTAAATAATGTTAATCCTTATTGGTGTAGTTTTACGTTTCATTATGAGAAATTTTTCCATA